ATGAATATATATATATATATATTACACTTATTGTTATTGCTATTACATAGGGGGATAACAATCCCCCTATATAATAGCACAGGTACACTGACAGGTCCTCTTTATGGAGACAATAGGGGTCTCTAGGACCCCTAATGTCACATGGGGACCCCAAAAGAAGCTGATGAAGCAGAGATCTGCTTTATCAGTTCTTCTCTCTGGCTATAGCAGCCAGATGACTGACGGGTGAATGCGGAAGTGATGTAACACACATCTCTTCTGCTTTCACTGCCCGGAGGAGCTGATCTCCCTCCTCCTGACGCCCTCCCGAGCCGGTCCCGGGCCACAGATGGGCTAGCGGATCCGGGATTGTAGGTGAGGGATTATGAGGGGGGAGGGCGGCGGCAGCAGACGAGGAAGGGGGGGGAGCACACACCAGCACATATACACGATAGGCTGGCTATAGACAGGACATGACTGTGCTGCTTGGCAGGAGAGTCTGAGTTCGAAAATTGGCGAATTAAGAATTATTTTGCCGGTAAAACACCGGTCACCTGTGAGGAGGACATAGAGAAGGGAATTGATAAAAATCTGGAGCAGTTGTGTGCGTGGCAAGCAATCGGCTTCTCTCTTCCATTTTCAAATATTAACTCACCAAACTAAAGAGAGAAGCTTATTGGTTACCATGTACATTTGCTCCAGATTATGCTGCTTCAGTTTTGATAAATTTCCCCTATTGTGTTTTTAGTTATTGGTCCTGTTTTCTACTTCTGGATCACACTACTTTTTGTTCTCGGGTGAACTCCAGGTTGGCCAGAAAGCCCCCCCTCTGCAATTTTTTTTATTTATTTAAATTGTCTTCAACCAATCCACCTGATAAACCGGGTCTTCTCTTCTTTTTCCCCTCTGGTGGTGGTCAGTCCATGCTCCTGTACAAGACAGTGTTCCCATAAGGACATGTAAGCATTCAGTACAGCTGTTCCTTGAACCCAAGGTGCTATGATGACATCCCGCAAGGGTAGAGTATTTGACACCTTGGCTCACTGGAAGTGAGTTGAATGACGCTGGGTGTCATTCAATTTGGAATACCAGTGGCGGCAGCAGGATGGAGCAGACCCCGTGTGGAGGTCAACATGCGAGAGGTGGTGATATCCCAACAAAAGCTGTTTGGTTTGGGTTTTTTCTCATACCCGCTGGTTATTTGATTTGATTTTTAATAAAAATGTGGATTTCGGGTTTGAAACTTGTTTTTTTTATGTTGGTAGAAGTTCTTGTTCCTACATTTTCCTCCCATGTACTTGAGCAAATAGACTTTCTGCTGCTGTTGCCAGATGGGGAGAAATGGGGCTTTTATAAGAGTGCTGGAGTTTTGGAACCCCATACAGTGCAGTGGAGTTCATGTGCCTGCAAACATCACATTGGTATGGAAGTTTTGGGGTTTTGAGATCCACTGCACATGAGCATGTGGGCTTTTGTTCGTCCTTGTTTGACCACTGATGGACATGTGTTGTACAATATTGATTTCTTTGCGTTTCTCAGTCATTCATTGAAAGGGTGATTCAACCTGGCAATACACAAAATTATCAAAATTGGAGCAGACAAAATCTGGAGCAGCTACGCATGGCAACCAATCAGCTTCTCTTTTTCATTTTCAAATCTTAACTGAAAAAAATGAAAAGAGAAGCTGATTGGTTGGCATGGACATCTGCTCCCGTTTTTGTTTGCTCCAGTTTTGATAAATTCCCCTCATAATATTTAGGTTGTTTGATTAAATTTTTTTTACTGACACTGCTGATTTTATTTGTCGGCATATAATGTGCAATTGTCCCATTGACTGCGATTAGTGACTTTAGCTTTACTGCTGCAATAGAGAAAAATACCTTACATTTTCCAGCTTATCCGATTTGTTGGACTTTTTGGTTTAATATCCTAGGCTTATTGCTTAGATCTGTTCCTCTGCCATGATGCTCTTAGATGTCAAATGATTGCATTGGATTAAGTTCTCTTTTCATTTGTAGTTTACAACAGAACCTGAAATATGATTTTGCACTTTTTTTTCATGTTTTTAGAAATCAAACTAATTTATTTTTTAAGCTAGAGCGGTGTTCAGTACTGGCCCGGACTTTGAGAACATCCTCTCCACATAGTAATTCTCTTTACATTAACGGCCCATTTGCGCTATTACACTGCAGTAACGCTTGTGTTGGTGAAATGTGGTGCCGTTCATTCTGAATTGTACGATGGATGTGTGATGTAGTACAGCGTGGTGCTAAAAATGCTACATGCACCTTTTTTGTGCATTAGGCAGTCCATACAAATGGGCTGCATTAGAGCAACACATTTTAACCCATGGCAATTGTTGATTATTCCAGATTGATTTTCAGATATCCTCTTCCACTCCTGAAGGTGCTCAGAGTACTTCTTAATTCTGGCGTGAAACTTGCACATGGCCTGTCTTTAGTGTTCCTACAAGCACATTTTTACCCGTAGTTCTGTAGATCTGGTTCATGTAATGCTTGCAACATGCCTGCTGTCTTTAAGGCAGACATGTCCAGTATTTAGCCGTCCTCTCTTTCCTGTTGCCTTTCAGGGCTTGTTCACACCAAGTGTGGAGCAGAGCAGTTACAGAACGCATCAAAACTGCATCCAATGTTTTCCAATGGTATTTTGGGTTCTAGTTCACACTAGAGCGTTCATTTCCAGAGCATGTGGAAAAACTGCAGCATGCCCTATTTTTTTCTGTTCTGGAACGCACCAAAACGCATGCAAATGCCTTGTAACGCACTGGAAGCCCGTTTTAGGCTAATATATATATATTTTTTTTTTTTTTAACAGCCCAGAAACGCGACAAAACACGCTGCACTGCATATGTAGAAACTCGTGCAGATCTGGTCCGGATTTTGTGTGAACAAGCCCTCAGTTCTGTTGCTGCTCTAACCTTAACCTTGGACATTGTCACAATCGCCAATCACTGCTTTTTCATTTTTATGTAGGATTGTATTCGAAGTAGCATTTTTAGATGTTGCCTGAGTTGTTGCAGTGGACATGTTAGTCTCTTGTGCCTTTTTTTTTTAATATAGTTTTGGACATGTTTTGAATTTCGGAGCTATGCGAGTCATTATAAGATTCAGTAGACAATTTCATGAAGCTGGACAATAATGTAAAAAGGGCTGCAGCTCTTGCTCTAAAATGCAATTACACACAACATGCTTCAGATTGTGGCAGACTTAGCTTTCAGTTTTGCTATTCTCCAGCACTGATGGCTCTGGGCTAAGCCTTATTGGCGGTTGCCACTGGTGCCATCTTTACCACTTTCTTCCTATTGAAGGTCTCTCTTCTTCTGCCATTGGGCAGTCACTGATGATGTAATATTTACTTATGCACGTTTGAGTTACATTGTCCCATCACCCAGATTTATTCTCAGCATCTTGTAAATGCAAAGTTTACACTGCACTGTGCGTGTGCTTCAGGCAATGTACACACACAAGAATCTGCTAGGAGAATGTGGACGAAGTTTGGTAGAGGAGAAATACAAAATTCTTTCTACTAAAACTTCTACCTACAAGCGGGTTTTTTTTTTGGCTTTATTTACGCTGTAGAAAACTTCTCAACAAACTGTAACTTTTAGATGCACAGTCTAAATGGCTAATGTAATTTGTCTGCCTGCGTTTCTGCATGTATTTAGTTTTTTAAACGTTGTATAATTTGGTTACTATCCCCTCCTTTTCTTTTTACTTGTTGTTTCTGTTTTTCTCCTCCGCATCTGTCCTTCGCACATATTATACAGGCATTTTCTTTAAAATCCTTATTTTTTTTTCCCCCTTTTAACAGAGAGAACTTGATACAACAGCAACCGTATTGGCAAACAGACAAGATGAAAGTGAACAGTCCAGAAAAAAACTTATTGATCAAAGTCGAGAATTCAAGAAAAACACTCCCGAGGTGAGCTGAACTATTTATTTTCTTGGTGAATGGAAAAAAAACCCGAAATCAAATTTAGATCTTCATTTTAGAGAAATAATGATAAACCCAAATGGAAAACCTTTTACTTTTTGATAAGGTACCATATGTCCCAAAATGCTCTACTAGCTGATTAGTGCAGAGGATTCTGGAGCTGCGGATTTCTAATATCTGGTGAACTAATGCCCATGCTTTAATTTAAGCTTCACAGTTTGGTTCATAATTTTATAGAAATGTATGTCATAAATCTGAGGAAATATTCTCCACTGCGTTGCATAATATCAAACTTCTTGATTAATTGTATAAAAGACATTACATTTCTAACCCCAATTTTGCCAAAATCAGAGGTTCTTTATGTGATCTAGATTAGAAGACCTCCAATGGTTTTGGGTCAATTGTGTGTTTATAATCTTTGTTCTACAAACAATCACTTAATACATAATAAAGTACTATGGAGTATGTAAATAGAGAACACTGCAGAAGCTACCTACCTTCAAGCTGGCTTTTTTCTGACCTACACATTTTATGAAGGGCTGTCAGATCAGTCTTCTGGGTTTAAATTACAGGTTGAGCTATTGACTCTGTAGACAAAATAACTTTTTACAACTAAGAAACAGTGGAGACACATAAGCGGAGAGCTACACCTCCTGGCTCAAAAGCAGAATTCAAAATATTAGTGTTCAGTTTTTCATATTTACCTGACTAAAGAAAAAGCAACAAAATATTTTTTTTTAAATATAATTTAAAAAAAAAATGTTTAGTGCTGACCATAACAAACAAAGAATACGTATACAACATCGGTATACGGTAATTGGGAAAACAAAGACAAATATTTTACAGATATTTTTCAGATTTAGTATTTACTGTTTGCTTTGACAGACCTTTAAATGAATTGCAGATGTTATTTTTCTTACCAATGTCTCTTCTCTTCATCAGTTTCAATTTGACTGATACTAGCTAATAATACCACCTTTCTTTTCTTGCAAGTCTTGAAGCAGCCTGAATTTTGTGGCTCAGTTTAGTGTTGAAACCCTACAGAGACCGTTCTACCTCCTCTGTTAAAAAGAACACAAACATATGGTGCAATCGGCAGGCTGCATCTTGATAACATCAGGGGTCTCAAGAGCTGCACTGCGATTGTTTGTTACTTGAGCTTGCAAGAAGGTTTTGGAGAATGTGCAGACTCTCTAATATGGGATAGTACCAGTGTATTTCCTTATATGTTGTGTGCTCTGAAGATTGCAATGCTACAGGTTTTGTTTTTTGCTTAGTCTGCACTGATGATTGTGGAAAGTGGATCGAGAGGGCTGTTGGCAGTGAACAGGTTAATATGATTAGCACCCTGGAGACGCATATGCATTTTGCCCTTGGATGCACAAACTGTTTTTAGCAACAACAGCTGGTTTCATGTTTGCACTGTTAAACCGAATATTTTCTTGGTGGATTGCCTCTGAGCAATTTCTTTGTAATTGTTTCTCATGCATGTGAAAAGTGCCATCCTTTAAGGAAAAATGATAGGAAATTAGTGTTACAGAAACAGAATTGTACTTTGATTAGTAGAATCCAGTCAAGATGCCTTTACTCCCAACAAATACATATAAGCATGTGCTACAGTCGGTGTTATAAATATTGATAACAACACTGTGTTACTTCAAATTAATTCACACGGATTGTCACCTTAAGTTATTCCAAAGTGTTGCCATCAGTTCAAACATTGATAACCAAATTTGGATATTTTAGGAATGTTACTGTCAGTAGCAATCGGCCTGCAGACATCAGCAGTGTTTGGTATCACTGCCCCTCATCCAATTAGAGAACGCCTGGTACTGACTGAGAAACATACTAGACATCCTCTGAATTGCCACTATACTCAACGAGAGACTCTCTATGTTTTAGCAGCACAGGGAAGTCGCTCAGCACAGCGGCTGTATCACGACCTGAAGCGTTGTAATACACGGTAGTAACTGCAGCTACTACAGTGTATTGGAGGATAACTATGACTTTACATGCCCAGCTGGACAAATGTAAGTATATACACTGAGTGGCCAGATTATTATGACCATCTGACGTTTTTCAGGCAAATTAGCTATAATTTCGTGCTGAAGTTGCTAGAGGGCCAGACCATTATAAATAGGAAGCAGGTTGTTTACCACGACAGTAGAAGTGATTTTTTTTCTGAAGATATGGGTAAACAACGCGATTTAACAGCCTTTGAACGTGGGATGATTGTTGGCGCTCGGAGCCATGGAGCGAGTATCAGCAAAACAAATTTTATTGAAGGCAGAAGGTGGCCCAACGAAGTACTGATGGGGTGGTCATAATAATCTGGCCACTCCGTGTATACCTGTATTGTTAAAGCTAGAGTTCTCCTTTAAGCTATTAGGTGAATAATCATTTATTAAAGTTTGGCCTTCTGAACCCAGATTAAGTGTTGGATACCCATGTGTGAATTAGGTGCCTTATATTAGGGTAGCAGCTTATGCTAAATAATCATGTGATAAATATGTGCTAAAGAGTTTTTTTGTTTTGTTTTTATTCTGAAAATACGGGCTTTATCCCTGCAGGATAGAATTTTTTTAAGCGAGCACTTGGCAGTGTGATTCTTAACTCCTTTTTTTTTTCTTTTATGCTAAGCTCAACGAGTTAAAAAGGTGGGCCCTGAAACTTCCAGGAAATATTGGAGTTTGGACCTGGGACGTGTATTTTTAACACTTTCTATCAGTATAATATTTAGTGGTTTTGTGGCTTGACAGAAATGCTGCTCTGAAATGGGACCTCATAAATTATGTGACCCAGCTTCAGTGCTGGCATGTAGGCTAGGTCAGTCAGCATTTAGTTAGTACAAAGGTTCATTTTGTTATTTCTAGCATTGCCATCGTCATGCCTAGGTAGAAACCTTTTAGGATTCAAGCAGTTACGCTTTGTATGAGTTCTGACTACATATTGATTTTAGAGATTTTTGTTTAGCTCATTCAACATTATATGTGAACATCTTGGTGTGTATGCTTAAAGAGTGATTGAATATAACCTCTATTACAAATCAAAACGTTTAACCAAACATGAAAAATTTAGACGCACGATGTTCATTTTGAGAGGCCACTGAAATAATGCAATTGCATTAAAAAGCGATTGACTTAGTTAAAGTAATATATGCAATAAGCAGGAATTTGACTATACAAAAAGTAGGCGAATGTCCACACACAATGTCACATGAAGAAAATTACTTTGGCAGGAATCGGCACCTGCGTCCCCCTGATCCTGCGCAGGTTAATGGTCAAATATCATATTCCCAGGCTATACAGTCTTCCTTGTAATAGTTTTATACTGGTTTTCTGTGCCAAGTTAAATAAGGAAAAAAATCCAGGATCCTTTAACAGATCCAGAATATGACTAAGCAAAGTTAATGTGCTGTATGCATGGTTAATAAATGATTTCAGTGCTAGAAGTAAGGCTGATAATGGTTAATGAAGTGGTGTTAAATGTTTGCTCTTCAAATTTGCTTGTAATTGAGAGAAATTGTAACATTTTAATTTATGGTATAAAGTGAAAGTCTGTTTTGTAGGATGTATTGTTTTCCATCTTCTATGTGTGTGTGTGTAAGTAGAACTGAAACCAAAAGTTTGTTTAGTTTTGGATAGAGTAAGGGAGGGTTATAACCCCTGTGATTTCCTGTCCAACAGGAAGCAAGAGGAAAGCCCTCAATAGAGAGGTCCCTCCTCTGCTGATTGGGAGTGGGCAGATGCAATAGTCAGCCTTCTATTGGCTATTGCAATTTGAAATAGCCAATAGCAGACTGACTATTGCCCCCACCCACTGCCTGCTGTGTTTACATTCTGCTGCATTTACATCCTGCTGATGGCTGCGAAATCTTGCACGATGTGCGTTTCTCTGAAGTAGAAAGGGGTCCCTAATGTCACCTTAAAAAGAACCTGTCACTTCCAATGTGCTATCACACAAGGGGCTTGTGCACAGCCCCCTCCCCCATTTGATAGCAATGAAGTTAAATTAAAAAGTGAATTTGAAAAAAAGGAAAAATAAAATGAAAAATACAAACAAAAGTCCCCAAACCCTCGCGAACTCGTGCATATAACAGAAGCGCAAGTCGGGCGCACCTAGGTACCAAATCGACAATTGTGCTACACATGTCGGGTATCAGTGAGTGCAATAATTGTCAGGCCATTATTCGTGGCTCACTCTAAACTGATGGCTGGGCATGTATGTATGTATGTATGTATATATATTTCCTGGCTCACCCCATGTCAGCATACCATGGGTTAGCTTCGCCCTCAACCCTAAGTAGGACCACCTTCACTAGATGATAAATCCCCCTGCTCCACTCACCACGCGTTCTTTTTCTGTTCTCGCTCAGGACACTTCACTAGTATTTCTTCTATTGTTTTTAGTGTCACCCTCCTCTTCTACCTCCTTTCTGTCTCTCATATATATATATTCATATTCTGCATAATTGTATTTTTTGTCCAATGTTGGAGTGTTATTTTAAATAAAAGTTTGATTATTTTATTACAGTAGCTTGGAGTTTTTCAATTCAAATTATTTTAAATACATGAAACTAATTAAAATGTCTAATATAATACATAAAGTTATTCAAATAAAAATTTAAAAGCAGGGAAAAGTCATTTTCTGCTTAGGCCTGACAAATTCTGCTGCAGGAGGTGCATTGCGGTGCCATTCATTTCAATGCCTACACTGGAACACACAGTACCACAATGCCGTGCGTCCCAGTGCGGTGCGATTGCAAAAAATTGTGCATGCAGTTTTATTCTGACGTAAACTTTTGTTTGTAAAACTCCATTTCTGAATTTTATTTTAAATTACGGATCGTATTTAATTTTCTTTTTATCCGTAATAGTTGCAGCCCTACATCAATTTCCTGTTCTGATGACAACTTAGAATTTGGGAATTTGATTCGGCTTCAGTGATAGTGGTCTCCAGGACAAATGGAGAGGATGAATCCCCCTAAT